TTGTTTGCCGAAATGCTCAAGAGAGGAATGAATTTCGATAATGCCACCATTGGTTACTTAATCTACGGCCTATTGGCCAAAAAAAGAGTGAAGGAAGCTTACAAGATGTTCAAAGAAGCAGAAGAGGTGGATCTGAGCTTATGCCATGGTTTGATGAAGGGATTGCTGAGGATGAAAAGGCCGGCAGAGGCAACTGAGGTTTTTAGAGAGATGTTGAGGAGAGAGATAGAGCCAAATATGCACACTTACATCATGCTTCTTCAAGGTCATATGGGGAAGAGAGGGAGGAAGGGGAAGGAGGAATTGGTGAACTTTGATAGTATTTTTGTTGGGGGATTAGTGAAGGTAGGTAAGACATTGGAGGCAAGCAAATATGCAGAGAGGACGATGAGGAGCACCGTAGAGGTGCCTAGGTTTGATTACAATAAGTTCTTGCATCTCTTCTCTAATGAAGAAGGCGTGGAGATGTTTCAGGAGGTGGGAAGGAGATTGAAGGAGGTGGGAATGGTGGATCTGGGAGATGTTTTGTTGGTGTATGGGGAGAGAATGGCTACGAGGGAGAGGAGGAGGAGAGCTATCTGGAGGGAGTCTAAGGTATGTGAACAATATTCAAATTAGTAATTTTTGCATTTCATTAACTGAATGCTTATCATGGCTAATCCAATTGAGTGTTTATTTGTTGATAAATGCATATACCAATATAAATTATTTATTTATATTATATTCTTTAAAAAAAAAATTAAAATTTTTATCTTGATTTTTTTTCTTATTATATATTGTGCTCCAATATTCATTTAGGTCACTTCGATTAAATCATGATAAGTGGTTGAATTTGATTCAAGCCAGAAGTTACCCAAAGCTTTATTACATCTAGATCGGAATCTTGTCAAGTCTCTCAAGAGACGGGGTTTTCTCACACTCCTCAGTATTTTGCTACTAAATTTATCTGAGAGACTAATAAAGTTGCTCACTCATGAAGGCCATCGACTAAAGAACTTAGTTACTAATCTAGAGTTCTCATCAATCAACTAGAAATTCTCGCCAAGACTCATCAAGAGTACTATTCGATTTGTATTCACCTGAAGTTCCTACCGATTGGACATCTGTCAACCAAACTTTCCAGCTATACAATCAATCACAAGAGTTTATTAATAATTTTTTTCTTATAATTTTATTGTGTAGGTCAATTTGTACCATTGACCTTGATCCTCACATATGAATATAGGATTGTTGTGCGCCGTAACATACGCAACGGTAGAGAGATAGAGAGTTTAACGTCTTAGTTTTGTACTGAGATCTGACACACTTACAAATAAGGAGAATGGAGTACAAGAATTATAAAAGACATCAAAATTTTTATGTGGAAAAACATAAAAAAAGGGAAAAATCACAGGGTTAAAATGATACAAGCAAAGTGCTTGCTTGGGGGAAGGCATTGATATAATGCAAATAATATATTATATGGTTAAAGTTGAAAGAGCCCTTTCATAGGAATCCAACATTAAACCAAGTGTGGGAATTGGGAGTCAAAGGTGATGTCGTCGGCATGCATTAAGTAATGGTGTGTATGGGCATTATTAGTGATGGTAAATAATAAAGCCATTAGACGTTGGTTTAGATAATAAAGCCATTAGACGTTGGTTTAGTAAATAATAAAGCCATTAGACGTTGGTTTAGTCAGATGATAATAGCCAAAAAATTATAGGTCGGAGGACTATAGTCGGTGGGTGACGGGGTCGGAGGACTGTAATTGATGGACAATGGTGGTTGGAGGATCGTAATCGTGTTATGGTAATTGGAGGACTATATGTCACAACCTGACCCGTTATAACCCACAAATAGAATAGGTCATACCGTGTTGAATTATGATAGAACTGAAATTCCAAGACCTAATTGGAGAGAATTGCATAATTTTCAATATAATTTATGGACTATAAATCTATTAAAATATCAATTAAACATATAAATACTCATCATCAAACTCATTCATCTCAAAAATATTTACAATCAAAATAATTATCAAAACACATAATAGTCCATGGCACAGATGTCACAGAACGTAATAGAAAAAAATCATGACTATCAAAATCTAACTAATCATATCTATATAGACACATAACTTAGATCTTGCAACCTTTCTCTACTCAGCCCACCCTTTCTCCTTATCTTGATCTTAAACAAATATAAAAAGCAGGCATGAGCAACCATACATCAACATGTCATATTCAACAGACTCAATCTTTAATAATGAATGATAGTAATGTAATTGAAATAGTAAAGTAAATTCATTTGTATAAAAAATTAAACAGACTGCTCAAAACAAATAGATATCTATTGAATAAGAAACAATAAATTTATGACACCAATTCATAAGTAGCAGAACATTGAAGCAGCAGAAGAGTAGCCATATAACATCAATTACTCAAGAGGAAAACACATTCATTTCTCTCAGCCTTCATACCTCCCAACATATACAGAATTCATATTTCCACCCCTTATGACTTCCAGTGCATAGCACTCAGATATTCATAATTTCAGACCCTCGTGACTCTCATTCAGATTTCCAATTGAGCTTTGGGCCCTTGATTTTGGCTCATTGGGGCTCGGGTTGGATCATTTTTTTTTTGTTGGGTTCATTTGATCAAGATGCTTAATCAGACTATAAGTTTATTGAAATTAGAGTTCGGATGGTCATATATTTTAGTTTGAAGGTTTCCTATTAAAAAATGCATCAAGGTTCATATTTGATCAAGCCGATCTTCGTTGACGTATCAATTATCATTGATTGAGCATGAATATAACACAATTCTATACATTTTACTAAAATTTTGTTCAACTACAATCTCAAAGATATGATTTGTGAGATTCTCCATTTCATAGCTAAAGGTCAATCTGATCCTCTGTGGCCTAATCCATCTCAAAGATTCTTATCCTTAGTCTCTCTCTCTCTTTCCTCTTTGCTCTATGGGCTGTATTTGTATCTACTATAAAGCCTCGATATCATCCACATATAATATTAAATCAAAAAATATGATTTATAACTGTATGTATCATCCATCCTGCTGTTGAAGTATTTCTCAATAATATATTCTGCAGTCATTATTTCTGTGTTTCAAATAGCAATGCGAGGAATGGTATTTTGATCGATTGTCTTAAAAAAAACTTTTACAAAATTGTCAAAATTACGTTATAGCCATTGTATGGCCTCCATTAGGAAAGACAAAAAGGCAAGGTTTCTATAATATATTTAACAAGGCAATATTTAACATTTCTCTTGTCATATATTATCTGCATAGATCAACTGACATTTACACTATATTAAATACTCCAGTTTTTGAATGCCTTCCCAAACTGGCCTTGATGGCCTTCCATTTGGCTGTCCAGCAAATTATTTCAGATAGAAAGGTTAAAAGCAAGTCAACATATGAGTAGGGTTTCATTTGGGACGACTTTCTTTGATGTAGAATGAACAGCAAGATTTGATGTACCGGAGCTTCTGGCAGCAAGTCACGCCTCTGCGGAGGACTAGACAACAAGGATCTTGGCTGGAATTTTCTGGCCAGCAAGGGAAAAGCCATCTAGTAAGCAGGACATCGAGTATTCCTGCTGGAATTTGAGGACAACGGAGAGAAATATGCCTACAGGAATTCTGGGCAGCAACCTTTAATGCTTGTATAAACCTTGGGCAGCTGTTATGGGCTGCTAGAAGCTTTTGGACAGCAACTTTAGACTTCCAATGATGCAGGACAACAATTATAACAGCAGGGACAGTTGCTTTGACTGGGGGAGAATTCTGGGAAAACCAAGAACAAAACCAAGAATAGGTGCAGGAAATTCTGGCAGCAGGCTTGGAGAACAAGAAAACACAGAACGGGTGGAGTTTGGGAGGAATTTGGAGAAGGTAGATATAGCAAAGCTGCTAGAGAGGAGGCAGATGGGTATTGACCAGGTTTTGGAAATATTTCCAACTTGAGGGGGCTGAATTTTGTGGATAGAAATTGAGGTGGGCCTTGGAGATTTCGGCCAAGAGAAGGGGGAGAGAATTTGAATTGTTTCCAAGAGAGGAGGTGGGTTTTAGGAAATAAATCCAATTCAAACTCCTAAGGGGGCCGCGGTTTAAAGAGGGATTGGAGGGATTAAATGAGGTTTAATGCTTTCCTTGTTGGGATTTACTAATTAGGACATAGAATTTAATGTCGAATCCAAGTCAAGTTAATTTTAAATTTGATTTTAGAAACTTTCCTAAAATGGGATTCTATTTTAGGAAATGATTCAAATTTCAAATTTGAATTAATTGATTGAAAGTAAATAACTTTCCCAAGATGAGTTAAGCAAGAAAGGTATTCAAGTGGAAATTGGAAAATCGGAGGCAAGGGGAAGAGGGTGAACCCGGTGGTTAGGCTAGAGCTTGGTGGAGGAGGCGTCGGATGGGTCACCCAATTAAGGAAACCTTCTTGGGGGCCGGTGGTTATGTGGGGGTGGAGAAGATGGTCTAAGCTGGTGGTTGTAGTGGTGAAGGAGTGTGGTGGTTTGAGGGGGTGGTGGTGGTGGAAGGCGTTGGCTGGCAGCATAGTGGGAGTGGCTAAGAAATCTGGCGGCTAGAGGAAAAGAGATTGAAAGAAAAGAATGATAAAACAAACCACGAACCCGACCGTCTCCAAGGTTGGTGGGTGATCCGCTTTCCCTCCCTAGGGATTTCTCCAAAGTTCTCTCCTAGAACTCTCACAACTCTCCAAAGAATACATGTGCAGGAATTTTCTTATAATTCATTCATTAACCCTCCAAGAAAAAGAGGGATGCTTTAAATAGCCAAATACATGAAGGAAAATAACAAAGGCACTATTGCCACTAGGGCATACATAAGACAAAGCCCCCAAGTGAGGGTAGAAAGGGAAAAAGAACAATAACAAATCAAATACATAAAATAGATCAAAATAAATAGGCACGATCGTAGCCGTAGATCTCTTGAGGGCATTAAGGAATAATGAAGACATGAGATTAATGAAATTTGGGATTATTTGCCAAAGGAGAGAGACTTCCTTATAGAAGGAATTTAATTAGTGGGGACATGGGAATTTCGGCCAGGTGAGAGAGAGAAGAAAGGGTGTCTAGGTTCAATGTATTTGGAGTCATGACATTAATTTCTCAATTAATTCAGATTTGGATTAATTGGTTTATTTAATGGCCTTTCCAAAGATAGGATTAATGAAATAGGAAGAATTTGAGATTTAAATTTGATTTATTTCAAAATTCAAACTCCTTCCAAAGATAGATGGAGTTAAATAAGGAAAGTGGATCTCTAGGAAACAATTTTGAAGAAGGGGTAGGGATTTAAGGCAAGAGTCTATGACTTGCTTAAGGGAATCTTCAATTATGTAAGTGAAATTAAATCTCATTCAATAAAGATTGAATTGATATGAGATTTAAATACTTTCCTAAAATAGATTTTGTATTTTATGAAAGATTTTGAATTTCAAATCACTTTGATTTGAATTCAAAATTAATCCTAATTATATGCAATCTATATTAGGAAATAAGGGAAAAGGAGGGAAAAGGCCAAAGAGGGACCGGTGGTTTGTGGTTAGGCCGTGGATTGTGGAGGGGAAAAGAGGGAGAGGTGCGGGTGGGGGTGGAGTGGGGTTTAGCCGACGGTGAGGGTGGATTTATGGTGGCCAGCAGTTTAAGGTGGGGGTTTGACTAGTGAATCCGGCGGCTAGGAGGAAAAGGAGAAGGAAAGAAAGAAAAATACAAGAACGCTAAACAAACCACAAACTTGGTCGTCTCCAAGGTTGGTGGGTGATCCGTTTTCCCTCCCTAAAGATTCCTCCAAAGCTCTCTCCTAGAACTCTCACAACTCAAGAACACGTGCAGGAATTTTTTTTCATAATAATCATTCATTAACCCTCCCAAAAGAAGAGGAAGGTTTTAAATAGCCAAATACTTAAAGGGAAATAACAAAGACACTATTGCCTCTATGACATATATAAGACAAAGCCCTCAAGTGAGGTTCGAAAGGAAAAAATAACAATAACAAATCAAATACATAAAATAGATCAAAATTAATATGCACGATTGTAGTCGTAGATCTCTGATGTCCTCATCATTATCCCTGGGTGGGAGAAAACTCGACTCCGTCGAGTGGGTGTG